ACCCAGTCACATGGCTGGCAAGCCACTCCCACAAAGCAGGCCACACCTACAGAAGAGGTTCTAAAAAAATTTGAAACCTGCCAATGACTTATAACGTGGATATTTCAGGTTCATATACAAATCAAAACACCCAATCTTGTATTAGACAGCCACAAAAAGGCCCAACCAGATTGTAGCTTGGCAGTGAGGACCTCAAATCATTTGAGAAGAAAGCCAGCCCCGGTTAACTGGCATTAACAGTTCCTTTACCAGACCTCAGTTATCATGGGGAAGGCAAACTTTATGGCAGTCTTAGAGTTCATATCTGCAAATTATGTCTAACAAAGAAGCACAGAGCCAACATAATTAAACTTTATTTTACAGAACTGACTAAAAGCCTATTGCATTAATTTGGATTAAAACGAATAGAACCTTGGAACGTTTTTCATAGCATGAAAACCAAATACACAACTAATAGTCATTTGGTGGTGATGTTAACCTGCAAGATATTATTATGCACATTATATATAATTTTTAAAAATCCATCAATTTAAGCACTTTAATTCTCCATGAAATAAGCAATTTTATAAACATTTTATGTTCAATTCAAAAATGTAACAAATGTTTTTTTTGCACTTTAGAAAGATACAAAACAAGTATGATTTCCAGAGAGACACAGGAATCATTTCAAAAATTGCTCTACCAATCATTAATTAGCTTTTCTTTATGCATTTTGGACACGTTTTACCATGAATATTTTCTGTCTCCTGTACAAACCCTATTAATATTAATGGAAACAGTGCAAGAGCACCAAGGGTGTAATCCCCCATTAAAATTTACCTATTTTATTTTATTTGAAAGGTCGTTGCTCATAAAAACGTTTGTTAGATTATGCCCATAATCTGCAGATTGGCAAAAGATACAGTATTGGGGTGAGGAGAGTAGTGGCAATATATAAGTAAATTATGGAAATCTTAAAGGCAACATATGAAAAGAAACATGGTTTTACTGCATGTTCTTATTTAGTAACTTATTTTTTTCTTTTTTTGGAATTCGTTTTCCCACTTACATTGTTAATGTAGCCTGAGAGTCAAACCTTAAAATATCAGCTGCATTTTTTGCCAGGAGGAATGAGAGATGTAAAAGTTGTTCTGAGATATCAGCAAACCGTGACATTCTGACAAATCGCCTTGCTCTTTTCTTCTTTTGAAAGATTTAAAAAATATAAATAATTTTAGCAACATATGGAACAAGTAGTTCTAAATTATCCATGTTTCAACATCTAGGTCTACAAAATGACATGTAAAATATGACAGAACTGAGATGGGGCTTCCATCAAGGCAGCTGGGAAGAGTATTCCACATGAAACAGAACCGTTATAGAACTTCCCTCTGAAAGGGCCACATTAAAACAAGTGAAAGACACAGAAGGAACCGGTTTCCCAGCTGGGTCCCCTGCCTTCCCCTTTGAACAAGTTCTCTGCCAAGGGGCTTCAGCTGATTTAGTCCATTGTGCTCTTGCGCATGGGGCACAGCTGGAACTATGTGCTGCCTTCTTTAGGTGACGATGAGAGTTGAGGCTGCTGTAGAGGCTGTGTGCCTGTTGCTGTTTTGATAGAGTTCAAAGTTTTGCTGAACCAAGAGTTTTTGGCAGTTTGAATTTCACTCATAAGTGCTCCTCTCTGGTGCTCCAGTTCCTAAGGAAAGAAATGAATTAAGTGCTGATAAAAGAATGATTTAAGATAGCAGAATAATCTGAGCTGGCATGAAGAACAAATGTAAATAAAAATGGCATGGCTAACATGTGCCCCTCCTGATGGCAAACGGGTTGCAACACCCATTATCCTTTTCACTTGGCCACACTATAGCAATAGCAGTTAGACTTATATACCACTTCATAGGGCTTTCAGCCCTCTCTAAGCGGTTTACAGAGTCAGCATATCGCCCCCACAGTCTTGTCTGTAATTTTACCTGCCACGATACGACGTGAGATGTCAC